TGTTCTCACAGAATTTGATTGGGCATCTGTTGAAGAACATGAGGAATGGGTTCCTGTTGAGTATTGCAGGGGATGGGGGTGCAATTACATTCTTTTCCAACTTGAAGGATTCTTCAGTTCCTTCAGTACTAGCAGGATTCCTGCTATACACTTTCATCTTCCATAAACTATAGCTCTGTATCCCACACAGGGCTGGGATCTCTTTCTGAAACATTCCCTCAGCCTCATGTTTCTCAGACCCTCTCCTGTACCTAGGTTCCTCCAAATCCTGCCTATTTTAGGTATCTGGAGTTACCATAATAAACAAGCCACCTGGTGTGCTCCCTGAGTCATTACATTATTTCTCCCTAATAAGACATTTAATACAACTCTATAAAAAGTGGCTTAACTACAGTTTCAGAATGCCATTTGCAATGCTGAAAGGTCCTTGAAAGAGGATTCTTGGCCGGGCATGGTGACCCACGCCTGTAATCCCAGTACTTTGGGAGGCCGAGGTGGGTGGATCGCGAAGTCAGGAGATCAAGACCATCCTCGCTAACATAGTGAAACACTATCTCTACTAAAAATACAAAAAATTAGCCAGGCGTGGTGGCAGGAGCCTGTAGTCCCAGCTACTTGGGAGGCTGAGGCAGGAGAATGACTTGAACCTGGGAGGCAGAGCGTGCAGTGAACCGAGATCGTGCCATTGCACTCCGGCCTTCCAGCGTGGGCAACAGAGCAAGATTCTGTCTCAAAAAAAAAAAAAAAAAAAAAAAAAAGAAAAAAGAAAGAAAGAGAAAGAAAGAAAGAGAGAGAGAGACAAAGAAAGAAAAAAGAAAGAAAGAAAGAAAGAAAGAAAGAAAGAAAGAAAGAAAGAAAGAAAGAAAGAAAGAAAGAAAGAAGGAAGGAAGGAAGGAAGGAAGGAAGGAAGGAAGGAAGGAAGGAAGGAAGGAAAGAGAGAGAGAGAGAAAGAAAGAAAGAAAGGATTCCTTTCTGCTTTTTAATCTCAAGAATTGCAGGGTTAATTATGCCATTTTTCATTGCTGTGTTCTCTACTGAATGTGAGGCCTTTGCAGGGAAACATCACTGTTTAGGTTGCTGGGGTTTTAGGAAAGTCCAATCTTTGGCAAATACCTAAAACTTATTAGGTTGCAGTTTCCAAAGATTTTTAGGTTTTTCCAGTTGTAATATCTTGGATTCCTAGATATAGCCATTAGTATAGCACATATATTACTTTATTGTCCTTATTTATTTACATTTGCTTATTCCTATTCATTCTTCTTGAGGACAAAATCTAGTCAGTTATAATATTAATAATAATTATACTCATTTATACATTTTTAAATTTTTTTGTGATTTATTTATTTTGTTTTATTTTGCTTTTTTTGAGACAGGGTCTCTGTTTGTCTCCCAGGCTGGAATGCAGTGGTATGATCTTGGCGCTCACTGCAGCCTTGACTTCCCTTGTTCAAGCAATTCTGCTTCAGCCCCCCAAATAGCTAGGACTACAAGTATGCACTAACACACCTGGCTAATTTTGATACTCTTTATAAAGACAAGGATTTTCCATGTTACCGAGGCTGGTCTCAAACTCCTGAACTCAAGCAATGTCCATCTCAGCCTCCCAAAGTGCTGGGACTACAGACATTAGCCACCTTATACATTTATTTATTTATTCATTCCTGCATATGTGGATTTCATTCAAGTAATAATCATTGAGCATTTGCAATGCAATCTTTTCAGCCTTGAAGTTTCAGCAGAGAACAAAAGACATAAGGTCTCTCCTCAAACATCTTGCCTACTAGAGAGAGCCAGACTTATGTATTTATATATAAGAGAGACAGACATATGTGTGTGTGTGTGTGTGTGTGTGTGTGTGTGTGTGTGTGTGTGTGTAGAATGCAATGTCAGATAATGAAAAGGACTGTGAAGAAAAAACAGAGGAGAAGGGTAGAGTGTGAGGTGCTATTTTTTAAAAGATTCGTAGGGAAAACTTCTCTAAGGAGGGTTATTTGAGCAAAGACCTGAATCAAGTAGGGAAGCAAGCTATGTAACTATTCTGGGAAAAACTTTTTCAGGTGGAGGAAAAAGCTTGTGCACGTGCCATGTAATGGCAACCTTCATAGTGTGTTTGAAGGCCAGTGACATAATAAATGAGACAGACAGGTAAGAAATGACCCTGGGAAAGTTGCAGGGTTAGATGAAGGAAGGCTTTCTAGGGTGTACGAGGGATTTGGAATTTTATTGTTTGTATGATGGAGAATCAATGCAGGCTTGGAAAAGGAGTAACATGATAAAATGACTGTCTTTAAAAAATTACTCTGGCAACTGAGTGAAGAATAGGCTACAGGAAAGAAAATGAGATCATAGAGACCAATTGGAGGAGTGACATAGCACTCTAAGTGACTGTTGCTTGTGTCCTAGATCAGGGTGTCAGGAATAAAGCTAAGTAGAAGGCATAGTTAGGATAGAATTTTAAGACAGAAAAGACAAGACATGTTGATGGATCTGATCTATGTAAGAGAAAGGGAGACATCAAGATGCTGTCCATTGTTTTGGAGTGAAAATGGTAGAGGCATTTATTGAAATGGAGGGAGGTTCATGGTAGGAAGCAGAATGAGGAAAGGTGCGCACGTGCTCTAATGTTTGGTTTGAAATGTCTATGACACACACATGTGTAGTCAGTGGGTTTGAGTCTGGAGTTCAGGGGACAGGTTAATTCTAGAGCTGAAAATACGGTAGCCAACAGTATATACAGATAGCATTTAAAACCGTGGGGTTGGATGACATCAGTCAGAGTCATGCGGACAGAAGCGCAGAGAGAGGAAACAAGCCAGATGAGTAAGGAAGACTCAACCTGTTCCAGGTTGGTGCAGCATATAACTGTAGTTGAGAGCATAATCTACTTGAATCCAGGACAGATCAGTTTGGATAAAATATGGAAAGAATGAAGGGTATAATGTAGTATGAGCCAAAAGAAGAAAGCAGGCAATATGTTAGAAAACGGATGGCCGATGCTGCTGCGGTCCTGAGGATAGACAGGATTCTCAGTTGGGAAATTACTGACATATTCAGTCACTTTTTAAAACCCCTCTGATTGAAGTGGGAAGACTGGTTCAGAGAGGAAAAGAGCAGAGGCAGATAGACTGTTCAGAATACTTACAGAAATACCTGAGAGGGATGACTGTGTCTGGCACCCAGATGCTCATTATGGAAAAAGACAAGCAAAAGCATTTGAAAGACAAGAAGATGTGGTTTAGGTTTCTAGGTTGAGTGCTTGGAGGAGGTATTACTCTCAGTTGAGATGAATATGACCAGGGGGTGAGAGAGGCTCCGTGAGTTTAATGTGCTCCTTGTGAAAGGAATGTTTTGATATTTGTCAACAATACTGGGATGTATATTTTAATATTTAGTTATCCACAACCAACAGGTGGCATTTAAAACTAAAAGAATGAATGAGCTCTCTCTATAAGTGCATAACATAAGGAGAGGGAGCAAGGTGCACCTGAGGAAAAGCAGTGTGCAACAGCATTGAAGGAGACCCTAGCAGAGGAGGTGGAGAAGGAAGAGCCAGGGACCTGAGGCAAGACACAGCGGGTTCTGGCCTTGGAAGTCAACTAAAAAGTGAGAGCTTCATCGTAGGGCCCCTCAGGAGGGCTCAGCATTGTGTTCATACAAAGTGTTTCCTTGGAACAACCTGTGTGTGTAGCCTTTGGAATTCATTATAGAACTGGGACATCCAGGCAGTCTTGTCACATGGTTGTCTGCTAGAGTTATCGTAGCTGAGTACTAAACACTGATTGGTTTAAACAACAGAAATTTGTGTTCTTGTGATTCTGAAGGCTAGCAGTCCAAGACCAAGATGTTGGCATGGTTAGTTCCTCCTGAGGCCTGTCTCCTTGTTGTAGATTGTCATCTCCTTCCTATGTCTTCACAGGGTCTTCCTTCTGTATGTCTGTGTCCTAATCTCTTCTTATATAGAACCAGTCATATTGGATTAGGGCCCACCTTCATAAGCTTCCTTTTCTTTCTTTTTTTCTTAGACTGAATCTTGTTCTGCCACCCAGGCTGGAGTGCAGTGGCGCGATCTCAGCTCACTGTAACCTCCGCCTCCCCAGTTCAAGAGACTCTCCTGCCTCAGCCTCCCAAATAGCTGGGATTACAGGCATGCACCAAAACCCCCAGCTAATTTTTGTAATTTTAATAGAGACAGGGTTTCACCATTCTGGTCAGTTTGGTCTTGAACTCCTGACCTGAAGCAATCCACCTGCCTCGGCCTCCCAAAGTGCTGGGATTATAAGCATGAGCCACTGTGCCTTCCTGTAAGCTCCTTTTAACTTAATTACCTCTTTAAAGACCTTATCTCCAAACACAGTCATATCTGTAGTACAGGGGTTGAGATTTTAATATATAAAATTGTGTAGTACAAAATTCAGTCCATAGCAGTTAGACCACACAAATCTCACATTTGTAGGAGTTGTGACTTGGAAAAAAAAATGTATCTTCAGAAATCATTTAATATTTGATGTCATATAACTTTTGTATTTCTAGAGAAAAATAAGTTATACTGTGACATTACTGGAAAGAACATCTTATCAAGAAAAAATTATGACCTAAACAATGATGATAAATTAATTTATGATCTGTTATTAAGAAATGTGGAAGATTGAATCAAGTTGTACACATGTCTAATTACAAATAGGTACACATGTCTACTTTCTCTTATATCAAAACTGTAGAAAATAATAAAATAAAAATAATCTAATGAACACAGAATAAAAAAGTTAAGATAATCTAATATTATTACATTTAAGATTAAGTAATTCCTAAGAGTGCAATAAGTGAAAATGTCAAATAGACCAGTAAGAACCTCCACACCAATTTAATTCTGAATGTGTAGTTCTAATCCACATTAAATAACTACAAGAAACAAAAAAGGCTCAAGAGTCACCCAACAACTTCAAAGTACTCTCAAGCTTTCTATGCCTTTTAAAGAGAAACAAAACAATAGGATATGTGTATATATCAAAAGAGATTTATTTTAAGGAATTGGTTCATACAATTATGGAGTCTGGCAAGCCCCAAAATTTATAGTTGAAGTTCAAAGAGGATCAGGCTAGAGACCTGGGAAACAGCTGATGTTGCACTTCAAGTTCAAAGCTTTCATGCTGGCAGAACTCCTATTTATGGGGCAGGAGGAAAAGAAGGAGTCAGTCTTTAGTTCTTTAGTTCTAGTCAGGCCTTTAACAGATTGAGTGAGGCCCACCCATGTTATGGCAAATCTGCTTTCCTAAAGTCTGCAGATTTAAAAGTTAATTTCATCAAAAACACTTGCATAAAAATATTCAAAATTATATTCCACCAAAGTATCTGGGCACCATGGCTCAGCCAAGATGACATTAAAATTAAACATCATAATAGTCTACTTATCCTCTACATTTGCTTATCAGTGCCAACAGGAAAAATTAGTAGGGAGGTCAGTGGAGCAGATGTGCAGGTGAGCTCCCCTGCCAACGGCTCACCAGAGCCAGACAACGAGCACTAAAAAATCTCCATCCAACACCACATCACATCTCTTTCTCTCTGTCAACAGATACAGGCTGAGGTCACCAGATCAGTTAGGTAAGTAGAATATTCAACAGACAAACCACTTTGTACATAGTATATACCTATGTAGGTACTGTAGTCTGAGAAGGAAACAATTTAAGACAATCCCTACTTCCAAGACATTCTGCAAACTTAGGGAAGAAGCAAAGAAATTAAAATCAAACTTAGGGACAAAGTACATTCTTAAAGATATATTTTAAACAAGAAATTATAACCATGTTTTCTAATAATGATAATCCAGCCCACTGTAAACAGATAGAACTACAAATAATGGCAACATTGATAGGAGATTGAACATAGAAAATGGTTTTGGTTGCCAAACTCCATCATCTCTAACATTCATAATACTTCTATATCTCCCTACTTATTCCAGAAAAATCCATATATGTCTTTAATCATTTTGAAGTTTACCTTAAAGAATATCTTTTCTCTTTTAATAAGATAGGTAAATGATTTCTTTGAAATAATTTTTTTATCTAAACAGAACAGTGTTTCATTCAACATATTGCAGCCGCTTTGATTTAGTGTGAATTTCCAGTTGCCATTACAGATATGTTGATTGAAGTCACTTGCATAATCAAATCATGGTTTCTTCTTTGTGCCACAAGTTAAAAAGAGAAAAACATTACTGCCAAAGGTTGTTTACATGTAGACAAACAACCTTCCAGAAATTTAACTAGTCTCATTGTTTTAGTTGTTCGTTAACTGCCACAGTCAGCATTTGCTTGACTATTCAAAATCCAGTTTAAGGACAATTTGGAATCTGCCAAGAGTTTGCTAAGATACATACAGTGTGTACTGAACATACCATACATAGAAAACAAAGTACTAAAGACAAGGATGTCTTTGGACAAAATGTTCCTCATTTGAGTCTAACTTCATTCTAGAGGCTTCAACACCTAATTATTGATAACAAAACTCTTAATGTAAAAAATGCACCTAATGCATTTAAATCCTGTGATGGCATTTGAGCATGTGTATAGCTCATTAATATGACCCTAGGCTGGGACAGTATGTTAAAGTGTTTAGGAATATTTTAAGATTTGAAAATATTTAAGATTCAATTTGTTTTTCAGCAGACCACTCACAGCTCCCCAGGAGAGATGCAGAACACCATGTTCTTCATCTTAAATGCGAAACACTAGGTGATGGAAAGACTGTGTTGCAGGCTACAATTGAAAAAACAAAACAGTGAAAGACGGTGTGGCAATTCCTCAAGGAAGTAGAATCAGAAATACCATTTGACCCAGCAATTCCACTACTGGGAATATACTCAAAGGAATATAAATCATTCTACTATAAAGACACATGCACATATACATTTATTGCAGCACTATTTACAATTGCAAAGACTTGGAACCAACCCAAATGCCCATCAATGATAGACTGGATAAAGAAAATGTGGCACATATACACCGTGGAATACTATGCAGCCATAAGAAAGAATGAGTTCATGTCCTTTGCAAGGATGTGGATGAAGCTGGAAACCATCATTCTCAGCAAACCAACACAGAAACTGAAAACTAAACACTGCCTGTTCTCACCCATAAGTGGGAGTTGAACAGGAAAACGCATGGACACAGGAAGAGAACAACACACACTTGGGCCTGTCAGGTGGGTGGACGGCAAGGGAAGGGAAAGCATTAGGACAAATACCTAATGCATGCTGGGCTTAAAACCTAGATGACAGGTTGATAAGTGCAGCAAACCACCATGGCACATGTATACCTATGTAATAAACTTGCATGTTCTGCACATGTATTCCAGAATTTAAGTAAAATAAAAAATAAAAAGAGAGAGATAAAGAGAAGCAAAACAAAAACAAAAACAGTTTATTCCATGGGCATTACATCATATTTAAGGAAATTAGCTATCCTGCTTATTAAATAGTAAGCACAAGAAGTACTCCCTGAATACTTGTCCCACATAGCTCATAAATCCATCTGGAGATTTATTGTTCATCAGTTCAACTCTAGATTTCTTAAAAACGGGGTCAACCTTATCCATCCCTATATCAGGTTAGAATACATGCAGTGCCCAGTATATTTTCATGGTCTTTAATTTCATCAATGTAAATATTTTGGGGAATTAATTACTGTTTGAATGGGAAACGTTTGACCAATGAGTCATGATTGCACATGACAGTATGGTCGTCCTCCTTATCTGCAGAAGATACATTTTACAACCCCCAGTGAATGCCAGAAAGTGCAGACAGTACCAAATCCCAAATACATTATGATTTTTCCTACACATGCATGCCTGTGATAAAACTTTAATTTATCAATTAGGCAGAATAAGAGATTAACAACAATAATAATAAAGTAGGACAACTATAACAACATACTATTTACAATTTCACAGATAGAGGATTCATTCTTACCATAGATCTTAGCAACCCCAGCACACAATTTTTTTTCCCTTTCCTTATTGAGTCAAGGAGTTACAACTTTCACTTGGAAGCACTTTATGGGTTGTCTTTGGCATGTCTGAATTGCAAGCTTCTTTACTTTTGCACTTTGGGGCATTACACAGTAAAATAAGGGTGACTTGGACACAAGCAATGTGATACCTCAACAGTCCAGATGGCCCCTAAGAGCCTCAGAAGTGGGGAGCCTACACAGTGTGGAGACTCTGGAGAAAAGGAGTATTCACATCCTGGGGCAGAACAGTTGGAGATTTCGTTATACTACGCAGAATGGCATGCAACCTAAAATCTATTAACTGTTATTTCTGGAGTTTTCCATTGAATATTTTCAGACTGTAGTTACTGCAGGTATCTGAAACCATGAAGAGCAAAACCAGAGAGAAGAGGGGATTCCAGCGGTGTGTTAGCAAGATAACTGGGTTGCAGGAGGAAGATTTGGTTGAAATATGTGGCTTTTTTTTTTCAACAATTTGGTTTGTTATGTGAGGACACTATTACAAAGAGAAAAATAAAAACAAATATTGTTTTTGTTGTCAAAAACAGGATAATGGGGGAAGGAAGAAGACAGAAGCACATTATGTCACCATCCTGTTGAAAAGCTAAAAAAATCCATATTAAGGGCTGAATCATCTTGTCACTAGCCAGCTTTACACCTGCTCATGCATCCCTCTCCCCAAGGTAAAGACCTGATCCAAAAGGTAACAAAACTTCTCTTACCTCCCAGAGATGGACAAATGATCACATCTCAGATTAGATCTTAGTTTTTGTCTCCAAATATCAGGAAGAGTAGAGTAGTTATCTGCCTAAGTATTTACATTTCAAGAAGTAATAATACCTGGAAATTTGGAAACATCTCTAGGTTGGAAAGATTCAGATACATGGGGCTATTTGACTTCTGGAGAGTATATTTATATTCCAATGGTGTGGAGTTAGGGCTCAGATTCAGAGTGAGGGAAGCTGCCTTATTCCCTTTGTAAGCAGAGAAAACTCATTTTCTTCACCCCCTGCCCATGCAATGTACAGCTAGCTATGTTGGAAAAATTTCCCTCAGCTCTCATGGCATGAGATAAGGATGTAAGGCATGGGGCTGATGCACTTACTATTTACTTTGAAGTAATAAGTGGTCTGTCTCTGGTCCAGAACACTTCATGTGTGCAATCAAGATACATTTAATAAAGATGAATGTTAAAAACCTAACAGGCTTCAATTCAATTTTATTACCCTTTGGATCAGAAAAACAGGACAAATGGCCATAGATCTACTCCTCATTGTATGTGAAGAGTGAAACGTTTCTAGGGGAAGTGACGGCAAACATTTCCTATTTTTGTGCTGTATACACTTCTGTGTTTCGGGCTAGGGCTTCTAGTGTGAACTCTGAGAAACACAGGCAAGTTTACTTCAAAAATACTTTATTCTTTGGTTGGTATTTCATATTCCTTCAAAACTGATCTTATAGCAACAAAATCAACCGTAAGAAATAATAGGAAGATTTAATTATTTCTAAAGTACTGAAGTTCAGGTTGTTTTTAATTGCCTTTGTTTGAAAGTGAAATGCATATATTGAACTTGAACACTCAAAATTCCCATGGAAACAAATCAAATAAAGTAATTACAAAGTAATTGCTAATGTTAAGTATGATCAAATTTAAGTTGTCTCTTCTAGGACCAGTTTACACCTTGATAGTTTTAGCATGGCAGGTGTAGATTTTAGGGTACCATGAGAAAGAGAAATACCAAAAGTTTTCCCAGGGTTTTGTTGGTCATCCAGGCTGGAATGCAGTGATGTGATCATAGCTCACTGCAGCCTTGAACTCTTGAACTCAAGCTACCCTCCTGTCTCCTTAACTTTCTCCTTCTTCAACTTCACCTTCTCTTCCTCCTCATTATTGTCATTGTTGCCATTGTTTTAGTGAAAAAGAAAGAAGGGGGAAAAAGACATCATTTATTGAACATGTATTATAAGAGGGGCATTTAAGTAACCTCTTTGGAATCTTACAAAGTTTTCAAACAGTCTTTTGGGGAACAGACAAAGAGACATCATAGGCTAATGCAATCCTAAGTTAGTGTCAAATTGAAATATTTGAGCCACATGTGAAACTTTAAGTTTTCTAAGAGTCACATTAAAAAGTAAAAGAAATTGATCAAATTAATTATAATAGTGTTTTAATTTATCTCAACTGATCCAAAATATTAAAATTTCAGCTTATAATCAATAAGAACATTATTAGAGAGGGATTTTACATTTTTATACTAAATCTTGTCTGTACTATATTTATTTTTATTGGAATCTCCATTAGAACTAGCCCTATTTCAAAGGCTCAGTAGATATATGTCACTAGGAGTTCCCATTTAGGACAGAATAGGCCTATGGAATAAGAGCTTACGTCTACAACCAACTTGCCTGTACTTTAACCCATTTACTAAACTTTGGTGAGATTACTTAAATGCTTTCAACTTTATCTTTCATAGCAGTACCTGATATAGGGTAGTTGTAAAGACTAAATGAATTCATATAGAACAGTTAAACTAAAGCCTGTCCCATATTTTCTATTATTATAGTACTTATAATTACTGAATAAATTTATTTTTAAGACACTTTTTTGGAAATTAGTTTTAGTACCTCATTCGTAAAAGAGGAACTAAATGTAGAGAGGTCCAATAATCTTCCCAAGTTTACTCAGCTAGTTAGTAGCTAACTTTTATCAAATTTATTGTAATTTTCCTAATGCACTTACCTTTTCAGATAGAAAGCGTGTTATGAAACAGTTGTAGTGTGAAAGCACCAGTTTGTGTGCTTGTTTCCATACTTCATGAAGATTTTTTTCAGTTGTTACTTAAATACACGCATATGCATATCTATATCTATGTAGTATACATTTTTTTGTGTGTGAATACACAAATTCATTTGATTTATGTTGGGCTGCCCCGGAATACTGGAAGAGAGTTTCCTGAAAAAATATCTTAAATCTGTGCCCAGCCAATAAATAAATTTTGCAGATTATTCTTGGTTTTTCTTTGCAGCATCAAAATATAAGAATGGGAAAAAAATTTCGAATTACTTAAGTTAAAATTGGTATTCTTCTAATAAATTTCAATAGTTTGAAATTTCTTCTTTTGATGATAGATTAAGTAAAGCAGACAAGTTTTCTCATGGAGGAAAATTTTTAAAAAACGGGAGACTGATTAAAAAAATTCTGATATAATTTTTCTCAGTACTCATTGTTTCTCTGTGTGGATTCAAGTTACCATGTGGTACCTTTTCCTTTTAGCCTGAAGGAATTATTTTAGCATTTGTTGTAAAGCAGGTGCTAGCAACAAATTTTGTCTTTATCTTGGAATGTCTTTAATTTGCCTGTATTCTGAAAGATAGTTTTGTTAGATATAGAATTTTTAGTTGACGTTTTTATTGTCTTTAAACATCCTTCTTCTGCCTTCTGACTTTATTTTACTAACGAGCAGTAAGAGAGTTATAGTGTGGTCCCCTTGACTATAAGGAGTAATTTTTGCTTTGCTGCTTATAGGATGTTTCCTTTGTCTTTTCCAACAGTTCGAAAAGTCTGCATAGAATTATCTGGGTGTGTGTTTTTGTATGTGCTTATCCTATTTGGAGTTTGGGGACTTACCTAGATGTACAAGTTAATCTTTTTCATCAACTGTGGGAAGTTTTTATTCATTATTTTTCCATTTTCTTCCTTCATCACTCTCTCTTGCCTCTGCATCTTGGACTCATGTTAGACTCAGGTCATTTTGTTTAATGGTGTTCTAATGGACTTTGGGACTTTTTATTTTTCTTTTTACTTTTTGTGCTTTCAATTGAGCGATCTTTATTGATTGATCTTTAGGTTCACCGATTGTCTATTCTGGCAGCTTATATCTGCAGCAAAAAAAAAAATGTTATTTCAATACTGTATTTTTGAATTCCAGAATTTCAACTTCTTTTTTTATATGATGTCTATCTCTTTATTGACATTCTATATTTCATAATTTATCATCATCGTACTGTCATTTAATTCTTTAAAAATGGTTTCTTTTAGTTCTTCAAATATACGTACAATAATTGATTTGGAGTCTTTGTCTAGTAAGTCCAACACTGGTAAATTCTCAGGGATATTGATTACTGACACCTTTCTATTTTTAAGCATATCTTATTGTTTTTTTCTGGAAATTGGACATTTTATATACTGTTTTATATAATATATTGTTGCAATTTTAGATTCTGACATCTCCTGGGATTGCCATTTTTGTTGTTTTTCTGTTCATTTATTTTGGTCATTTGTTTTCACATAATTTGTCTATACCAATTATCTAAAGTTAGTCTCCGCTGAAACATGTATTTATTGAAGACTCCGCTCTGTTTTTGTTTTTGTTTGTTTGTTTGTTTGAGATGGAGTCTCGCTCTGTCGCTGAGGATGGAGTGCAGTGACTCAATCTCAGCTCACTGCAACCTCCGCCTCCTGGCTTCAAGCTATTCTCCTGCCTCAGCCTCCTGAATAGTTGGGGTTACATGCGCCTGCCACCATGCCCAGCTAATTTTTGTACTTTTAATGGAGACAGAGTTTCTCCATGTTGGTCAAGCTGGTCTGCTCAGTTTATTATTCTTACTTTTTAAGCCTGCTTTCGAGGGATTACCTGTAGATGAGCTTTGCTTAGTGGTCACCAAAAATTGTGCTTAAACATATATTGACTGACACTTTGCTGATGGACCAGTGTGTGGATTGCGGAACACATTTAATATGGAGGCAGTTTATAGGTCTACCCAGCTTTTAATTTCTGCATGTGTAAGCCATCCTGCCCCACTAAGGGCTCAGTTAGCTGGGCCCTTTCCCGTTGCTTATTAGATGTGCAGACTTCCAGACAACCAACAGTTGTTGTTTCATCACTATTGTGACATCAGCTGTGATGTGTTTCCCTGATTATTTGCCACTGGGATCACTATAATTTTGGCAATGCTCTGGTTAAAGGTTTTTTTCATACTTCACTCAGAATCAAGACTGTCATTTTCTGTGGAGAGTCTGCCTGTCTCCATGATCATCCCTTCCTACTTAAACTACCAAGCAAAACACCATAAACTCCAAATGTTCTTACTGAGGTTCAGTGAATTTTCTTGAATAAATGCCTTTTAATTTATTAATGGATTTAATTTAAAAAGGAATGGATTCCTGTCATTTTAATGGGAGTATGTTACATATCTTAGGTGTGAACTCCTGAGAAGAGATTAAGTTTTGCCTCCATTTTCTCTCTGTCTTTCATACTCTCATGAGTGATGCCTTTCAGCATGTTACAACACAACAAGGGGGCCCTCACCAAATGCTGAGCAGATGCCAGCACTCTGCCCTTGTACTTCCAGTCTCCAGATCTGTGAGCCAAACAAACTTCTTTTCTTTATAAATCACCCTATGTGCTTTTGGTCAATTTCTAGTGTTCTGAAATAATTGCTTTTGATGATTGTGTACAGTTTTATGATTGCTTCTTTAGAAGAGATTAGCTGAGATGCTCACTTAGCATTTCCGGAATAATGAATACAAGTTTGATGGATAAAATAACTAATGAATGTATTCATATCAAATCATATGTCAAAATATCGTAAAATTTCTCATTTTAAAAAACATTTAAAATAATTTTATAGTAAGCACATAAACACATATTTATGTTACTACCTTGAAAATCTGTAAATACGTTGGTAGAATTTCTATGATCTCTGAGATGAGGACTTGTTTTCACAATGGACTCCCAGATTATTTATTAAGTTAATTAATTAGATATTAATTTCTTTTATTCAAATAGTACTTGTTTATAAAAGTGACTGACTTTTAATCACAACATTAAATTAGTTTCTGAGGGTGAGGGTATTTTTAAATTATGATTTTAGAATGTCTTCAGTACATATAGCAAAATTAATATGCTAAAATTTCTCAACTTATTATTTCAATGTTATATAGTAAATAAAGGTAATAAATATATTTTATGATATATTCATAGTTGCTTACTAAATATACAATGGAATATGCTTAAAAATAATGTAAAACTTATGATTTGGCCTAAAATTATTTTGTATTGGCATACACAAAAATAAAACTACCTAACCTATATAATATGTATAATTTCATAGACCATATTAAATCTTCTAGAAATAAGAAATGTATATTTGTAGCATTTTCAAATAGTAGGTGAATTTACAATGCATATGCTTTGGTCGTCTACAAAGGTCTTTTTGTTCTTTTGTTTTCATTATTAAATATATAATTTAAAAAAACAAATTTTTATCTTAATGTTTTAGCTCGTGAAGTTCATTTTGTGCCTGATTATAGACCCGAGAACATCCTCCTCTGTGAGCTGGACACAGGAAGTGTATTCATTTCAGAAACAAGAATTACAATTTCAATATTAATAATTCCATTTGATGTTTTCATTTTATTTTTTTACTTTAAAAAAGAGTCATATTGAATTGCCAAGCTGCTTTCTTCTATTTTTGCTACATGCAGTAGAATATTGAGGGTCACACTATAGTTATGCCAAAACAGGTATGTTTGCACTTTGCTTTAAAATCCCACATTGGCTCTGTGCTATGTTTCAAGGTCCACTCCAAAACTCATGTTGAAATTTAACTACCATATAATGGAATTAAGAGGGCTGTGCCATCGTGAGTGGATTAATGTCACTCTCATGGGAGTGTGTTGCATGTCTTGGGTGTGAGCTCCTGAGAAGAGAATAAGTTTTGCCCCTATTTTCTCTCTGTCTCTCACACTCTCATCATGTGATGCCTTTCAGCACGTTATAACACAACAAGGGGGCCCTTACCAAATGCTGAGCAGATGACAGCACTCTGCCCTTGGACTTCCAGTCTCCAGAGCTGTGGGCCAAACAAACTTCTTTTCTTTATAAATCATGTTGTTTGTTTGTATTCTGTTATAGAAGTAGAAAATGGATAAAGATATCTCATCTCTACCATGACATTACAGCTTCTTTTGAATTAGTAATTATTTGGATTAACTATAATACTGCACATTATATCAACTGATTTTTTTCTGTAAATAGACTGACACATTAAAACAAAGATAGAAAAGTTAAAACAAAAGTGCAGGCAAAGATATGACAGGCAATACCAAATAGAAAGAAAGCAGGGGTCACAAACATGATATTTGACAAAATACATTACAGAACAACAACAATAAAAAGCATTTAAAAAAACTAAAAAGTTTATTTTATCCTGCTCCCACACACTTCTAGTTCTTGACTTATATCTTTATTGTCTAAGTAGATAGCTTTTTCATACTATACTCTGTCTAATATAGCCATCATTTCATGATGATCCACCATCAGATAGAATTTGTGTGACCACTATTTCTTATGTCACAATCTCTCTTGTCATTTTGGTTATTTGAACTTTATTCTCTGTTAGATTCTTCGAGTTGCTCACGGGAATTTTTTTTTTTCTTTTTTTTTTTTTGAGACGGAGTCTCACTCTCTTTTTCCCCATGCTGGAGTGCAATGGCATGATCTCGGCTCACTTCAACCCCCACCTCCCAGATTCAAGCTATTCTCCTACCTCAGCCTCCTGGGTAGCTGGGATTGAAAGGTGCACACCACCACACCTGGCTAATTTTTGTATTTTTGTAGAGGCGGGGTTTCACTATGTTGACGGGGCTGTTCTTGAACTCCTGACCTCGGGTGCTCACAGGAACATTTTATTGAGCTCTTGTATGTTGAAAGGAGTTTGTCGTAGTCTTTGTATTTCTCACATTCTCTTTTTTGAGTATCTTAAATATATTACTGCATTTTCTTTTGGCATAAACTATAGCAATGAAAAACATCTAAGTACAGTCTAATTTTCTTTCTATTATGGGGTACCTGCTCAATTTTTGCTTGGGTGATGAAATAATTTTTAATGTTTGTTTTTAAAATCTAGTCTTTTTCACTAGAATGTGTCTTCTTGGTGTTGGTGATTTGGATTTGTTTTTTCCAGGTTTGATGTATTATTCAAATACAAATTTCAAGTTTTGTTTACATTTTAATTTGTGAAAAGTTCTGTGGATGTTTGATGTGTTTGTGCTTGTGTGTGTTTGTGTGTGTGTGTGTATGTATTTCTTCCCTTCCATTATTTTCCCATTATTTTTGTTTTTACTTTTTTTTTTTCCAATGTGGAATTTCGCTATATATGTGTTAGATTGCTTCGTCTGTTGCATTTTTTTATAATACCCTTTTATTTATCTTACCTAAAAAATTGATTTAAGTAGAACATATAAGCCAAAAATTACTCATTAAAAAGCTTAAGGTTCAATGAATTGGATGTCAAATAATTAGTATCTAGACGAAGAAATCTAAATTTCGGAGTCTCAGAAACCCAGTAGCTCCAAGGTACATTTATCCAACCACCAGCATTGCCAAAAATTAACCAGCATCCTGCGTTTTATTTATTTTTTAAAAAACCGTTTCAATAGCTTTGTGGCTAGAAAGGGTTTCTGGTTACATGGATGAATTTTGTAGTGAATTCAGTGATTTTAGTGTACCCATAGTGTACATTTTACCCAATACATAGTTGTTTATCCCTAACCCCCACCGTCTTCCTTCTGAGTCTCTAAAGTCCATTATGTCACTTTGTAGGCCTTTGTGTACCCATAGCTTAGCTCTCACTTATAAGTGAAAATATACAATATTTGATTTTCAATTTTTGAGTACTTTCCTTAGAATAATGACCTCCAGCTTCATCCAAGTTGCTGAAAAAGACGTTATTTCTTTCCTTTTTATTACTGAGTAGTATTCTGTGGTGTATATATACTACATTTTCTTTATTCATTCATTGATTGATGGACACTTGGGTTGGTTCCATATCTTTGCAATTGTAAACTAGGCGGCAATAAACATATGTGTGCATGTGTCTTTTTCAAATAATAACTTCTTTTTCTTTGGGTAGATAGCCAAGTAGTAAGATTACTGAATTAAATGGTAGATCTGCTTTTAGTTCTTTAAATACTCTCCATACTGTTTTCCATAGAGGTTGTACTAATTTACACTCTCACCAGCAGTGTATAAGTGTTCCTCTTTTACCACATCCACACGAACATCTATTATTTTTTGACTTTTTCATATTGGCCATTCTTGTAGGAGTAAGGTGGTATCTCATTGTGGTTTTAATTTGCATTTCCCTGATGATTAGTGACGTTGGCCATTTTTTTCTTGTTAGCCATTTTTATATCTTTTGTTCAGAAATGTCTATTTATGTCATTTGCCTACTTTTTGATGGATTGTTTTTTTCTGATTTCTTTGAGTTCCATGTAGATTTTGGATACTAGTCCTTTGTTGAATGCATAGTTTGCAAATATTATCTCCCATTCTGTGGGTTGTCTCTTTATTCTTATGACCATTTATTTTGCCATGCAGAAGCTTTCTAATTTAATGAGATCACATTTACTTATTATTTTTTGTATTTACTTTTGAGGTTTTAAAATTATATCTGCTTTTAAATTTTACATAAAGAATATTTGCAGTGTGTGCTCTTTTGTGTCTGGCCTCATTCTCTCAACATCATGTTTGTGAGCTCATCAATATTCCTGCGTATAGTTATTCATTACTTTTCATTTATATATGGTGTTTATTTGACCGAATATACCATGATTTAATTCTTTGTAGTTCTGCTAATTAAAATTTGAACTTTTTAACGCTCTTGGCTATTATGAATAGTTCTGACTACCAAAGTGTCAATCTCTTGATGAACCTATATATGCATTCTCTTGTACATAAATGTAGGCAGGGGATTAATGGGTCTTAGGTATGAATGTCCAATTTTAGGTACTGCCATTTTTCCAAAGTGATTGTACCTAGGGTTATATGGGATATTTAAACACTGTTCAACACAATTAGAATTGTATATATTTCATTATTATTATTATTTAGTTGATTAGATTATATGTAGTGGTATTGCATTATAATTTTAATTCATATTTTCTCCATTTATTTTTTATTTAAAAAATTACCTCTCCTCCATCTTTCTGTTTTAAGGAATTTTCTATTTTTTTTTTATTTTCCTCTTAGCCTTTATGTCTGAAAAAAGTATTTTATTTATGAAATAAAAAATATTCCTGTTTTTCATCACTTGATTTTTGTTTTTACTTCTAGTTTATGTCTTTATTTTATTTTTCATCATCTTCTTAGCTCATTTTGAAACATTGGGCCAAAATTTTCATCTATTTATGGGCATGTCCTATGCTAATGTTGCCTCTAAATACATTATTCTGTCCTCAATCTTTTTCTTGTATCAGCTTTATATGTAATTCAATGATAATTTCTTTCTATTCTTCATTTTGTACATGTTATTTAGTTATAGCTGAACTTTTAGGAAAGAGGGTACATAAGGCTTTTTTTCCTAGCTTCGTGGCATTAGAGATTTTTCTGTTGTCCTGTGAATTGTTTTAAAAGGCACGGTCTCACATTCTGAGATGTCTTGGATCTGTTCTAACATTTCAGCTTTCCCTTTGCCCGTATTTTTCTTATTCCTTCAATGAGAAATATGTTGCTAGAGGTTTCTCTCAGCTCGGGACTTTGTTCTAGAAGAAAGCTTGGACTGGACAGTAAGTTCACTCCCTCACAATTGCAGTGATGCTGCAATTCCTTGCATTGTCTGGTTTGTTTTGTTTTATCGTTGTCCTGCAAGCAATCTTTGGAAGTGCTCACAGGACTCAGATGGTTCCAGCACCTTCAGACTTCATCAGAGACCCCTTTCACTCTGGTAGTAATTTGAAACAAAAACACTTCAAGTTTCATCTTTTGTTCTCAAATTAGTACATTATACTTTCCAGAGAGTTCCTATAAGTGGTATTAGTTTTTCTTTATTTACTTCTTCCATTGTCATGAGAGATTTCTCTGTTTCTCTCTGCTTCCTCCACACAGACACTAATGCCATGCCAGGCCTATAGAGTTCAATTGTATTTTCTTCTTGACCAAGCAAGCACATTGGGGTGTGTACAGCTATCATATCTCCTTTTGTGTGGTCATTGTTGTAGATGTTGACCATATTTTAACATTTTATATATAATCAATCTTCTCATTTTCAGGGAGATTTAAGAATGTTAAAAAATCTACATTGTCACCACCTCCATCTTCTTTCTGTTTTCTTTTAAGATTTGTAATATTCAAGTTCTATTAAATATATAGTAGGCTGAATAGAGCACACTACCGTTAATTTAATGTCATTGTTTCTAATGGATAATATGTTATACCTACTCATTTATGTGTTATTAAATGCTTGATAAAATAAAAGTTGTTATCATTTCACAATTTCCGTAGATACTGATGTCTTCTAACAATTGGCTCTTAAAGTCAGAAATGTTATTTAGACACTTTTGTTCTTGCTAAATTTATGCCCTCATTTTCCTGGCAAATGATTTCCAGAGCTAGATAATTATACAAATGATGTTTTGTTTTCTAAAAAAATGCTTCTATTCATAAAGTATATTTTTGTGTGTTATAACTAGGAAGAGATAGTTTTGATCTACACATCAAAGATGACTTTGAAAGGCTTTCCTGGGAGAACACAAATGTGTCTTCACAAATTCTAGGCATTTATAGTCATCTGGAAAGAGCTAATACTTAGAAGAAATAAAAAATATTTTTCTAAAGCTATTTTACAACATTCATAACCTTTTACTGAGTTTAATCAAGCTTAAAGTTCAGAAGATGAAGAAAACCACACTCTCTTTGTTATTGTTATATATTTGAAAGGACACCTAGGTTTAAGTTTCTTTTGAAATCTGTGTATCATTTTCGGAAGCAAAAATGACAGGATTTCATGATAAGAAGGAAGCCACGTATTTATTCTTTTCTCTCAGGTTTTTGAGCTCCTAAATATTAAACAGACTCTGCCTCTTTCTTTTTTAAGAAAAAAATTACACTGTCCTATAAAAATGTATTGATTATTTCAAGAAGAGAAAGTCAGATGGTTTTGATTCCTTTGGCCCACATAGTTAAATGCAAAGCTAATGCTGGGAAAACAAATGAATTTGGTATCAGATGTTATTTTACTGTGCTCATACTTCAAGGAGATGAGTGGGGAATTTTGACATGCAAGCTGTATTCATTAATTTAGGATAAATTGATTATATCTTTCTTGGTAATAAAACTTCAAAAAGCTACAGAAGTGGCAGGTTACATTGGGGGCTGGAGCAAATAAGCCATATCTTAGTAGTGGTTTAGGTATGCAGCTATTTTAAAGAAGAGTGAGGAAGTGGAGATGAAAGGAAAATGCATGTAGAATTTAGCTTTAACCAATTATCTTCCAAAAATTTTTAAGACCTTAGAAGGTAAGAATTTTAATACTTAATATCAGGAAAAAAATGTTTCTTAATGCAACAATGAATTAATTCCCTGTCTGCAAACTCCATTGACCAGTATCCAAAAAATATTGGACTGAGACAATTAACTGGAAAACATTGTGTTTTAACTTCTGTGGTATTAATATCAAAAGTAAAAATTCAGTGTCTATGTTCGTAAAAATAGTCAAACAGCCCATTTTATTTAATCAATATTAATTGAAACTCAATCTGTGTTTGAGCATATCCACTTGCATATGCATTTATCTATAAGATCCTCATACATCTAAGCTTACAGTTTAAACTGAACATTGTCCTTTAAATTGGTCATCTGGGGAAGGAGTTTACCTACTCCAACGATGTGACATTGCTTGAAATATCTGTTTTGTTTTCTGTCAAACTTGTTACCTGGATTCTTCTCTAGTTTTATTAAATAAAATAATTATGGATTCCTTGGAGTGTTATAACATTTAAATTTCAAAGGATAAAGATTTTAATTGCTGAGGAAAATTGCAGAAATACATTCTGAAAGCAGTTCTAAGAGTAGAATTTCAAGAATCTTAAACTATTGCAATTTTATTTAATGTAAGTATCCTGGCTGGGCTTGGTGGCTCACCCATGTAATCCCAGCACTTTCGGAGGTCGAGGCGGGCAGATCACCTGAGGTTGGAAATTCAAGACCAGCTTGACCAACATGGAGAAACCCTTTCTCTACTAAAAATACAAAATTAGCCAGGTGTGGTGGCACATGCCTGTAATCCCAGCTATGCAGGAGGCTGAGGCAGGAGAATCACTTGAACCTGGGAGGCAGAAGTTGAAATGAGCTGAGACCATGCCGTTGCACTCCAGCCTGGGCAACAAGAGCAAAACTCTATCCCAAAATAAATACATAAATAAATATAAGTATCCTTTGAAAGTGAGTCTGTGAAGCTATTAAAGTGTTCTTACATAAGATTTGATATATTGGTTAAACAATTAATATTGTGAGATAAGATATACATACCAGTATAAAATACACATTTCCCATATATAAAGAATGTGTGTGTATAATTGAATCATGAAATGTCATAGCTAAATAGGGTCTTACAGTTAATCTATTTCAGCGTTCAATTGCCACCTCCTGCCTTTAGACAAATGAGGACACGAATGTCCAGAAAATTTTATTTCAAGATCACACAGCTACTTAAGGCTTGAGCCAAAATTAGGTCCTGACTTCTGATTCATTGCTTATTTCACTGAGGCATGATTCTTTCTAAAAGTGTTATGAGCCTTCCTATGAACTCAAAATCACTGCTTTTAAGTTCCATTTTTCTTTCGTTTTATACTTGGCTATCTAAGGTTTGTGTTCCCTCTGTGTGTTCTCCACCATCCCATTTATCTCACATAGTTAAGGGACTGTGGCTGCAGCCAAGCCTGAATAATTGGATACCTCTGTCAGCATTTATTATCAAGGACTGCAAGAACCTACACAGTGTGCCACTTTAGGAAAGGTTATGTTCCATTGTAGACAGCAATATGTGTGCCGATTAACCTCCAACTTCACATTTTAAATGCAGAACCTAAGTGCTTTTATAATCACGTTTTGATGAGGTGTGTGTTTATGTATGGATTTTGACTGAAAGCAAAATTAACCTTTTCTTAGCAGGATCCCTTGAGTGGATACATTAAGTAGGTTGTGTGACTAGGGTTACAAATCATCTTTTACATACAAAAGTCTTATTCTTAAAATATGTCTTTTTGGTATGCATAATGTGACTGAAAATATAAATGCTTTGAGCCTATGTACCTTGAAATTCTGAAAATATACCTCAAAATATTAAATTGTTATCCACTATAACTGGTTCAATTCTCTTTATATGTATATTTCTTATGAACTCTTATAATCAGGTTTTGATGAGGTGTGTGTTTATGTATGGGTTTTGACTGAAAGCAAAATTAACCTTTTCTTAACAGGATCCTTTGAGTGGATACATTGATTGGGTTGTGTGACTAGGGTTACAAATCATCTTTTACATACAAACATCTTATTCTTAAAATATGTCTTTTTGGTATGCATAATGTGACTGAAAATATAAACGCTTTGGGCCTATGTACCTTGAAATTCTGAAAATATATTTCAAAATCTTAAATTGTTATCCACTATAACTGGTTCAGTTCTCTTTTTATGTATATTTCTTATGAACTCAACAAAGAAAACATTCTTAAAAGTAGGCAAGCGTTGGAAAATTGTATCTTGAGATTATTCTCAAAAATATTCTGTAGAAAATACATGGAAATACACTTTGTATAGTTTTTGACTCACCCAAGAGTAATGTGAAATATTCAATTAGGTAAGTTGCCAGGGTAACCAAGTAGTAGTCTTTGCATTTAATTTCTCTAGTTCAGTTATTTGATATTTGTGCATTATCTGTTCTCCTGGGATCACTGCAGACTCTTAATTATCCCCATTAATGGAGAGGACTGGAAGAATAGATTCTCCATAATAACAGTAACGAAAGGTAGTGTGCATATGATTCTAGAATGTATTTTGTGAAGAATATGTTTTTGTATGTTTTCAAAGTAGAAAACAATCCAGCTATATGACAATGGACAAGTTACATAGTCTACTCTGGGTTTCACTGTGGGTTCAGTGTTCCTATTTTGAAAATATAAAAATTTAATAGTAAATCCAAAGCTATTAGAGTGAATATTATCTGTGATTTCAGTGATATTGTAAAAAATTAAACCAACAAATACTTTTAGTTCCCCCCATCTATCTGTTCTGGTCAATTCCTTACTAGACTTATTTCCAAGAAGATGAATGTTTAGTGATTGTCTCAAAATAACAGAGATAGATGGCCCCAATGAGAGATAGCTTATTTCTCCAATAGTCTTGATATGAAATTTTGGTATAATTTTTTTAAATTCTAGATAAAATATAATATTTTTATGCACAATGAATTCAGAAATATGTAAGGTGAGTAACAGAGTAAAATTGAAAATCCAAGCAGGATCTGGAAGCTGGCACTTCAGCTGTCTCAAGGAGGAAAGAGATTGTGGAAAAAGGAAGGGTCTTTCAGTCAGTAGCCAAGGGTTTGGGATAAAAAGTACTACGATTATGAAAAATTTCAAGCATATACAAAAACAATAAAAATAGCATAATAAACCACCTCATACCAATTACTAAACTTCCACATGGCAAAATATGTTCATCTATACCTTTTCTCAATTCCTAACATGCCTTCCAGTATTATTGTGAAACAAAAACCAGGGAACAATACAATTTCGTCTATAAGGTTCTCCACTAGGCATATGTTAACTATAAGGGATTTAAAACATAAATATAATAGCCTGCAATCCCAGCACTTTGGGAGGCCGAGGCTGGCGGATCACGAGGTCGGGAGATCGAGACATCCTGCTAACACGGTGAAACCCGTCTCTAAAAAAAAAAAAAAAAAAAAAAAAAAAAATTAGCCGGCAAGTGCAGGCCTGTATCCAGCTACTCGAGCTGAGGCAGAGAATGCGTGAACCAGAGCGGAGCTTGCAGTGAGCTGAGATCCGGCCACTGCACTCCAGCTGGCACAGAGCGACTCCGTCTCAAAAAAAAAAAATAAAATAAAATAAAATATAACTATCTTACCCAAAATTACTAACATCCAGTTAGGTTTCAGATTTGAGGAATTTAAAGTTTAACAATCACGTGCAGTCAGATGCCCTATGTTTGTGGTTGGGAGAATTAACATTGTTAAAATGTCCATACTATCCAAAGCAATCTACAGATTCAGTGCAATCCCCATCAAAATTCCATGGTAATCCTTCACAAAAGTAGAGCACACATGGGGAAAGGACAGTCTCTGCAATAGATGCTGTTTGGAAAACTGGCTATTCACAGGCAAAAGAATGGCACTGGACCCTTAGCTCACTCCATATACAAGAATAGACTAAAAATGGAGTGTAGTCTGAAATGTAAGATCTGAAACTATAAAACTATTCAAAGAAAAACTTAGAGGAAAAGCTGCATGATATAGGCTAGGCAATGATTTTTTGAATATGACCCCCAAAGCACAGGAAACCAAAGCAAAAATGAGCAAAAGGGGTTTCATCAAACTAGAAAACTTCTGCACTGCAAAGGAAACAATTTAACCCAGCAAAAAGACAACCATAGATGGAGAGAAAAATATTTGCAAATTATACTTTGATAAGGGGTTAATATTCAAAATATGGAAGGAATTCAACTCCATAGCAGGAAAACTATCCTACTAAAAAATGGGCCAATGATCTGAATCGACATATCTAAAAAGAAGACATACAAATGACCAAAAATAAATGAAAAAATGTGCAACATTGTTAGTCATCAGAGAAATGCAAATGGAAACCAAAATGAGCTATATCGCACACAAGTTAAAATGGCTATTTTATTTTCAGTTTATTTTATAATGCCAAAATTATATTAAACATATTTTTTAAAACTGGTGTTTGAAATATATATCTTTTATATACTTACAGTTACTTTAAATTATTTTATTCTGGATAACCTAAATAGACACAAAAAAACAATGTAAAGAACTGAGAGTGATCAATATCTTCTTTTATCTCCCCTTATCATAATTTGTTTTCTAGAAATATTTAAAAGTAAGTTTCGACACCCTCTTATTTCTACCTCAGATACTTCAGTGTGCATATCTGAAACACAAGGATTATTTTTCCACATAACTAGCGTGGCAATATCATGCTTTAAAAAAATATTGATAAAAGATTTATCAGTATTTAATAGCCAATCCATTTTCTTATACATATATTTTTTAATTTCCCCCATGCTGTCTTTTCAATCTTGGTTTCTCCATTTAAAACACAGACAAGCCTTTACGTTGTTAGGTACCCCCATTGCCATTAGCTCATCCAGTCATTCCCTCTAGGCCCCTTCAGTGGACAGAGTTACTTATTAAAACCAAGGAGAACATTCCGTTTCAAATCTGGGTTCAGTGTTTTTATTTAATTTTCTTGAGTTGATGATTTCATCTTTACTCCCTGATACTATAAATCTTGTTGTTGTTGCTGTTGTTGATTTTTTAAAAATTCACTGGCTCATTTAAAGTTTTCCTTTTTATCTCTAGTTTTGATCAACTTGATTGGGACATGCTTAAGTGTAGTTATTTTCATTTTTTTTGTGCTTAAGCTTTATTGGGATTCTTGGATCCATGGATTTATAGGTTTCACCAAATCAAACATTTTTGAGTCTTTAAAAAAAGTCCCTCTTCCCTCTTTTACTCTAGGCATTCTAATTAAGTGCACAGTGACTGGAATGTCTGAAGGAGATAATTTTCAATGAAAGACTTTGGGAGCCTTATTAGGCACACTTATAACAAGTAAAAAACCAACCAGTCATTCATTTGAAGAAAATATATTGAGAGGTATCGATGGAGATATGAATTTCATCAAACAGTTTCAAAGTTTTTGCTATTTCCTGAAAGTGCCTTATTTCTAAAATCATGCTTTTCTTTATGTCATTTCATCAATCTGAAATGATCTATATCACCTCTTCCTTTACCCCATGTTGAAATGTAAATAATTATATAACAATTTCAAATGTTATTTCTTTTACAAAGATTTGTGTAATCTCCCCCAATTAAATGTGATATCTTTTAACTCTACACTTGGTTTATGCCTTTTTGAGTACTTTTACTTCACCTAGTGTTGTAAGCACTGGTGAACTTTTCTATCTACTAGGTGATCATTACCTTGAGAGCAAGACAATGTGTTACAATTTTTCTACCCCTTATGGTACTGCTTCTAACTATAGTGTTTTGATAGATTGACAGCATTAAACTCATTGATTGTAATTTATTAAATAATTCATCAAAAAATTTATTTACTAAATATTGTGAATGGATTGCCTTAAGAAATGAATTTAAAAAGTCATTTAACTTTATTATAATGTTCTTGTGTATATATATATATTATTTATAATTTCTAAAACGCAAGATAAGGGATTGAGCTGCAATAGTCACTGAGGAATGTTAATTTATCTTCAGTTTGTTATGTCTATGGTGCAGTGTTGAGTGCAATTCAATTTTATTTCCCTTACGTAGCCTATGGGAAAGGAACAGTATCATTGCTTTATGGGAGCCAATAGGAGATATTTTATATGTTGATATGAGTAATTACTTTTAAATATACTTCATAAATACCTTAGTAGCATTCAAATTTTGTATGAACTTTATTGGCATTCCCCACAAATTATATAGTGTATAGTAAAAGAAAAATTAACTGTATTGATCGTATTATGCAACATTATTGAGAATTATTTTAAGAGTAGATAAAAAATGCAAGATATAATGAACTAATACTGTAGGTAGTGAAAATGATAGTGGAGAATCATATTGAAATGTTGAGTGAAATGACAAAATGCAGATTGCTTCAATAAACAAAACAGAAAACCTGTAGTGTAGGACTGAAATGAAGCATACTTCAAGTATGTAGTGATTCTAAGAATGTTTACTTTCTCTTGGACACTTATAGTGAAAATAGGTATGCCTTCTTAACTATCTTTCATTCAAAACCATTGAAAAGAAAATCGTAGTAATACTAAGGATGCATCCCATCAAAGCTCTGCTCTTGTTATTCCCACCATGAACACCTACACTGCAATCAAGCACAACAATTCACAGATGTGAGCTAAAGTATGCTGATAAGCACATTTCTACCATTTAGATTCTCATCGAATAAATACTACCTGGAAGTTCAGAAAAGTGGAAACTGAATGTGAGAAGACTTCACTCAAAGAAGAAAAATCTCGCAAGTGTTATTCCCAATTTTTTGATTCATATCACATTTCAGTTGCTTTTCAAGAAGCCAACTTTTTAATTCTTTCTTCTTCAGACATCATGTGACATGGTTTACCTTACTTAATGTCATTATTCTTTCATTTATATTTAATCTTCTCTCAGTCTTGTCACTGCAAGTCATCAATTCAAAACGTTTAAAAACAATGAGGTAAAACACAATAAACTTTTGTACTGATTTTCCCAGCTTACATAATTTGGTAAACACAGTAGACTCCTTGATGATGCCAGAGCATATTTGTTAGAAAAAAAAGTTTCAGTTCGAGCATGAAAGTTGGGCGCATATTCTCGATCTCCTATGATGTCATACTGTGTCCGGAATTGGTGGGTTCTTAGTCTCACTGACTTCTAGAATGAAGCCGCGGAACCTCACGGTGAGTGTTACAGTTCTTAAAGATGGTGTATTCAGAGTTTGTTCCTTCAGACATTCAGTTGTGTCTGGAGCTTCTTCCTTCCGGTGGGTTCATGGTCTCGCTGACAGGAGTGAAGCTGCAGACCTTCGTGGTGAGTGTTACAGCTCTTAGTGGACCGAAAGAGTGAGCAACAGCAAGATTTATTGCAAAGAGCGAAAGAACAAAGCTTCCACAGTGTGGAAGGGGACACCATGGGGTTGCCACTGCCTAGCTGAGGCACCCTGCTTTTATTCCCGTTGTCTGGCCCCACCCACATCCTGCTGATTGGACCATTTTACAGAGAGCTGATTGGTCCGTTTTGACAGAGTGCTTGCAGTGAGTCCTTGAGCTAGACACAGAGTGCTGATTGGTGTGTTTACAATCCTTGAGCTAGACACAGAGTGCTAGACAGAAAAGTTCTCTAAGTCCTCACTAGGTTAGCTAGATGCAGAGTTAGCTAGTTAGAGAGTACCAATTGATGTATTTACAAACCTTGAGCTAGGCACAGAGTACTGATTGCTGTATTTACAATCCTTGAGCTAGATACAGAGTGCTGATTGGTGTATTTAGGATCCTCTAGCTAGACATAAAAGTTCTCCAAGTCCCTACCAGATTAGCTAGACACAGAGTGCTGATTGGTGCACATACAATCCTCCCACTAGATAAAAAAGTTCTCCAAGTCTCTATTCAGCTCAGGAACCCAGCTGGCTTCACCTAGTGGATCATGCATCGGGGCTGCAGGCAGAGCTGCCCACCAGTCTGGAGCCGCAGCCTGCACTCCTCAGGCTTGGGTTGTCGATGGGACCAGGCGCCACCAGGGGCGACATCAGTAGGGGAGGCTCAGGCTGAGGGGGAGCCCACCGCAGTGGGGGAGCTCAGACATGGCGGGCTGCAGGTCCCGAGCCCTGCCCTGCGGGGAAGCCCGGCGAGAATTTCAGTGCAGCCCCGGCGGGCCGGCACTGCTGGGGGACCCGGCGCACCCTCCACAGCTGCCTGGCTGGGGTGCTAAGCCCCTCACTGTCCTGGACCAATGGCGCTTGCCAGCTGCTCCATGTGCGGGGCCCGCGGAGTCCACGCCTGCACCTGCTGGAATTCGCACTGGTGCGGGAGTGTGGCACGCAGCACCAGTTCCCGCCTGCACCTGTCTCTCCACACCTCCCTGCAAGCAGAGGGAGGAGGCTCCAGCCTCAGCCCGCCCAGAGAGGGGCTCCCACGGTGCCGTGGCAGGCTGAAGGGCTCCTCAACCACAGCCAGAGTGGACTCCGAGGCCGAGGAGTCGCTGAAAGTGAGGGCTACTAGCACATTGTCACCTCTCAATACCATGTGACCATGATCATGTCTACTTAATTCATTTTTAATGTTTTGATGTACCTGAATTTAGAACTTGACAGAATGAGGAATTAGTGCCTTTACTAATGTTACCATTTTAAAATGTCACAAAACCTAATTAAGAGTATTGCAAGTTATTGAAACATTCTTTATATGGCTTCTTGTTTGGTCACTATGTTATATAGCAAATCAGTTCAAAGAATGGAATTTATAAAGAAATTTTAAAATAATTTCATTTTCTGCTGATGGCAAACTTCTCATGGCCTAGGCCATATGACAAAGAATATGTTTAATAATTCAGCAAATGATGAGAAACTAATATGTTCCAAACAACCCAGTTAGTACTAAGGATGTAATTATAATCTAGATAAGTATACAGTTGATTGCAGAGGGATATGTACTAGATAATACAATGAGAACTTGTAAACACAGTAAGAGTATGCAATCAACAAATACATATTGAACAACCACTATGGCCAAGCACTGTGCTGAAATTTATATGTGCCGAAATTCCAGTAATAGTGGAACAATATTTCTACTGGAAAATGTTTTAAAAAATTAATGGAGATAGTACTTAATCTGCATTTTGAAAGATAAGTATGTTGTTAAATGAAGAGGAGTTCAAGATTTCACTGCTAAAGAAACAATGATTATAAAGGTCTAAGCTGAATCTATATTTAAAAAGTAGTGAGTGATTGTCACCGAAGCCCAAGATAAGTGGGGAGGAGAAAGAAAAGCTATTGGAGGTGCTTTTGATAAATATGTGGTAAATTCCTTAGAGGGATTATTTCCTTTAAGAGAACCTTTTCTGTTCTGGTAGGGTAAGCTTCAACCCAGCCAATAGAGGTATCTATTAGTATTAGCAAAAACTTGTATCCTTTGCAAGCTGGCATGTAGGTGAAGTCTAATTGCCAGGTGACATAGTTTGTCCAGAACAATCCTGATTATATCACTGTTTCTGAAATCATGATTGACAGTGTCCTTTTTCACTCCCAAAAGCTTCTTTGGTCTGAAGATAAAGTGCAAGGTTATTTTCCATAGAAAAGTTAACTTTCAGAATTCTACACATCAGTCCCTTAGCAACAGTAAACAGCAGAAGACTCTACGTGGAAAAATAATGCACATGCCTATCCTTACGATAATCCTGGCAGCAACGTGAAGAATAGTCAGGAATGAGACTGAAATAGGATGATGGTGTGTGAAACAGTGTTAGCACAAACAGAAACAAAGGAGTTTGAATTAGAGCAATGCAAGTGGGAAGGAGAGGAGTCCTAACATAGGAAGAATTTGGTCTTTTCCGTGTCTTCTCTGGAAAAGAGCTAGAACACATTCTTACTTTCCTTTTCTTCTCTATTTGTGTTCTCATGACATCGTTTGCCTATTCAGAACACATCACTTATTGTCTGAGTTGTAATTACTACGGGCTTGTCTTGCTCCCTGGACTTGAGAGTAGGAACTGTCTCATGTCACTTTTCCTAGTCTGTTCTCAATATGTGCAAGGCAATCTACAAGTATGTGTAAAAGAATGTTTGAAGGTAATTATATAATTGTGCCATTGTGGAATGCATTGGATACAATGCCTAACTGCATAAAAAGCATCAGTATTTGTTTAACTTGAGAACACATACTGACACGCTCCTCTTGGCCTGGATCTTGTTTACCTCCCTAAAGCTCCATCTATTGAATTTTCCAACTCATTTTCCTCAGAGAAAGAAAGATAATGCCTGATTCATTGCCCTCCATCACTTCACAGCAGAGAACTAATCTCTCAATTACTCATAATACAAATGGCGCTGTGTGCCTCCCATGGTAAGCCTCTGCACTATTTTTCTCCAAAGTATGTTAATGGGGGACAAAGATCTCTGCTTCCGATACCACTGGGAAAATTTCCTTAAGTAGATTTGAGACACAGAGCCTTTCCTGTCAATTCCTGAATTGTGTTATCTGTGGAAATTTAGACTATAGAGCCATGGATATCAGTTCTAACGTACTGAAATACACATTCTATATATGTGTGTGCAACAATGTGTTTACATAAAAAATAATACATGCACATCCATCCTGTCATCAACCTTCTATTATAATATGCCTCTCTTTTTGAGGACTTTTCAAGGTGGTATTGCATATATTTTCTATTTCAATTCTATTATTTCTACGTTTTATCAACTAGAATACATATATGTATTCTATCTGTGTATATATATGTGTATTCCTATATATATGTATATGTGTGTATATATACACAGAACACATATGCCCATGTGTTATATATATCTATGTATACAGATAGATATATATACATATAATGTATTTATTCTATTTGTTTACCTTGTGTTATAGCTCCTATAGGAAAGCCAAGACAAAAGCTTGATTCTATTTATTTAATGATTTTTGGAAATGATTTTATATTTTTAGTAGAAATATATACTTACAAAAGTACAAAAATTAGCTGGACATGGTGCTGTAATCCCAGCTACTCGGGAGGCTGAGACAGGAGTATTGCTCGAAACTGGGAGGTAGAGATTGCAGTGAGCCGAGATCGTACTACTGCACTCCAGCCTGGGGGACAAAGCAAGACTCCGTCTCAAAAATAAATAAATATATGCATGCATGCATACATACATACATACATACATACATAAAACAAAATGCTACTGATTTTTGTATGTTGATTTTTTTATACTACAACTTTACTGAATTTGTCTAATAGTCTTTTAGGGAAGTCTTTAGGTTTTTCCAAATATAAGATTACAACATCTGCAAACAAGGATAGTTTGGCATCTTCCTTTTCAATTTGTATGGCCTTTATATCTTTAACTTATCTGATTAATCTTGCCAATACTTCAGTACTATGTTGAACAACAGCGGTGAACGTGGGTAGCCTTGTCATGTTCCAAATCTAAGAGAAAAGGTTTTTTTCAGTTTTTCCCCATTCAGTATGATACCATCTGTGGGCCTGTCATATATAACCTTTATTATGCTGAAGTATGTTGAATTTTATCAAAAGCTTTTTCACCATCAATTGAAATGATCATATGGTTTTTGTCCTTCATTCTGTTGATACAATGTATCATATTAATTGATTTGCATATGTGGAACCATTCTTGAATCCCTGGGATAAATCCCACATGGTTATGATGAATGATCTCTTTAATATATTGTTGAATTTGGTTTGCTAGTATTTTGTTGAGGATATTTACATCAATATTCATCAGAAATATTGGCCTGAAGTTTTCTGTTTTTGACGTGCCTTTGTCTGGTTTTGGTGTCAGGGTAATACTGGCCTTGTAGAATAAGCTTGGAAGTATTTGCTCTTCCTCTGTGTTTCAGAACAGTTTGAGTAGGATTGGTGTTAGTTGTCTTTCAATGTTTGGTAGGGTTTAGCAGTGAAGACATTGGGTTCTGGACTTTTCTTTACTGGGAGACTTTTTATTAAGGCTTCAATCTCTTTCTTTGTTATTGGTCTGTTCGGGGATTGGATTTCTTCATGGTTCAATCATGATAGGTTTTATGTGTCTAGGAATCTGTTCATTTCTTTTAGATTTTCCAATTTATTGGCACAAAGTTGCTTATAGAAGCCACTAATGATCTTTTGAATTTCTGCCATATCAATTGTAATGTCTCACTTTTCATCTGTGATTTTATTTATTTGGCTTTCTCTTTTTTTCATAGTCTGACTAAAGATTTGTCAATTTT